CTCTTGTTACCCAGGCTGGAGTGCAATGGCGCGATCTCGGCTCACCGCAACCTCCGCCTCCTGGGTTCAGGCAATTCTCCTGCCTCAGCCTCCTGAGTAGCTGGGATTACAGGCACGCACCACCATGCCCAGCTGATTTTTTGTATTTTTAGTAGAGACGGGGTTTCACCATGTTGACCAGGATGGTCTCGATCTCTTGACCTCGTGATCCACCCGCCTCAGCCTCCCAAAGTGCTGGGATTACAGGCTTGAGCCACCGCGCCTGGCCTATTTTCTTAAATATATAGAAAAATAGAGATGGAGTTTTCCGATGTTGTCCAGGCTGGTCTGAAACTCCTGGACTCAAGAGATCTGTCCACCTTAGCCTCCCAAAGTGCTAGATTACAGGTGTGAGCCATCGTGCCCAGCCAGTTTTAGGTTTACTGACGTTGCAAACGTAGTACAGAGAGTTCCCAAATGCCCTTCATCCCGCTTCCCCAAATGTTAACACCTTACATTATAGTACATTTGTCAAAATTAAGAAATGAACATTGGCTGGGTGTGGTAGCTCTTTCCTGTAATTTACTTTGAGAGGGTGTGGTAGGAGAATCGTTTGAGTCCGGGAGTTTGAGACCAGCCTGGGCAATCTAGCGAGACCCCATTGCTACAGAAAAATTTAAAAATTAGGTAGGTGTGGTTGCACATGCTTGTATTCTTAGCTACATGGGTTGGGGAGGCAGGAGGATTGCTTGAGTTCAGGAGTTTGAGGTTACAGTCAGCCATGTTCACACCAGTGCACTCCAGCCTGGTTGACACAGCAAGACTGTATCTCAAAAAAAGGAAGAAAGAAATGAACATTGCTTTAATACTAGTAACTATAGATTTTACTCAGATTTCTCTGGATTTTCCCCAAATGTCCTTTTCTGTTCCAATATCCAATTGGGGATCCCACATTGCATTTAGTCATAATGTTTTCTCCAATCTGTGACAGTTTCTTAGGCTTTCCTCGTTTGTGACCTTGACAGGTTGAAATGTGTTTTGTACAGTGTCTCTCAATTTTATCTTCGTAGGTTTGATATTTTATCATGATTAGATTTGGATTATAGGTGTTTAGGTGGAAGAACAGAGTTGAAGTGCCTTCTCATTTTATTGTATCAGATTAACACTGGTGATGTTAAAAAATGAGCAGCCACACACAAGAGATGCATGATGCAGGGTGTGTGTGGAAGGGGGCACGGAGCTTTCCTGTCCTCTCTGGGTACACCCTCCAGGTGTTCAGCAATCCGGAAGCTTCTCTCTATCATTTCTTATTATTTGTTTGATTTTTAAAAACTGGATTGTTTGTCTTACAGATGTTAGTACAGTCTGGATTTTGTTGATTAATGTGTTCCTCTGTCTTCTTTGTTTCCTATAAATTAGTAGTTACATTTAATGACTACTTCAGATTCTTTTAGGATCATTGTTGGATCTGCTCGTTCACCAAGGATTGCAAAACATTAATCTTTTAATTCTATCACCCATTTTAATTTATGAGTTAGAAATTTCTCATTGTTATGTGGTCCCTCTGAATAAAGTTTGTACGGGAAAGGAAAGATAAATGGTGATTACTTCCCATTATTTACTGTGTTTGAAAATATGCATTGGCTCCTTAGCATCCTCTACATATTTAAAATATTTGGTGTGTTTCAATCCTTTGTGATTATTATCCTTATTGATGCTCAAAATACTCCATTTTTAGGTAACAGGAGCCTCTGTAAGTTGACTTCTGAATCTTTTTGATACGACCTTTATAGTCTTTAAGAGCTTCTTTGCTGCTGGGCGCAGTGGGTCACGCCCGTAATTCCAGCACTTTGGGGGGCTGAGGGTGGATCACCTGAGGTCAGGAGTTTGAGACCAGCCTGACCAACATGGAGAAACCCTGTCTCTATTAAAAATACAGAATTAGCTGGGCGTGGTGGCACATTCCTGCAATCCCAGCTACATGGGAGGCTGAGGCAGGAGAAATGCTTCAACCTGGGAGGCGAAGGTTGCAGCCCCATTGCTCTCCAGGCTGGGCAGCAAAAGCGAAACTTTGTCTCAAAAAAAAGAAGAGCTTTGCTTTTCCAGTATGACAGAATGTTCTAGTCTGGTCTTATACATTTCCTGACCCATTAGCTTTTTCTTTAAGGAGTTCTGGTTCCTTTTAGTCGGAATAGTATTTAAAGACTACAAACTGGGTAGTAGAAGTGCCCATTCCTACTGGGTTGGTCATTTTTTTAGACTTTTTCAATGAACAGTGTTAGGAAATTACGAGTGAGTTCATAATAAAAGTTTAAATTTAAATATAAGACTACAAGGGTTTTCTTTGTTTGTTTTTTGGTTTTTCTGAGACAGAGTTTCTTGCCCAGGCTGGAGTGCAGTGGTACAGTCTCAATTCACTGCAGACTCTACCTCCTGGATTCAAGAGATCCCCCCGCCTCAGCCTGCCAAGTAGCTGGAACCACTGGTGTACACCACCATGCCCAGCTAATTTTTGTAGTTTATGTAGAGACGGGGTTTTGCCATGTTGCCCGGGCTGGTCTTGAACTCCTGAGCTCAAGCAGTCCACCCACCCAGATCTCCCAAAGTGCTGGGACCACAGGTATGGGCCAGCACTCCCAGCTAATTTTTGTAGTTTTTGTAGAGATGGGGGTTTTGCTATGTTGCCCAGGCTGGCCTCAAACCTCTGAGCTCAAAAAATCCACCCATCTAGGGCTCCCAACATGCTGTGATTACAGGTATGAGCCACCATGCCTGGCCAACTACAAGGTTTTTGTATAACCTCACAGATTTTACAGCTAGATTTTTTTTTTTCTCCAAGCCAAAAATTACACTTGAGTAACACTAACCAACGTAATTATTTATTTGATTTACCTCATAACCTATACATATACAGTAATCTCAAAATAACTGCCAATACTAAAGAATGATTTAATATTTGGCAATTTCTTTTGTTTTTGAGGTATATCCTACTTAGAGATATTTAGTAAAATTACAGTGTTTCAGAATCACTTGAAATAGTTCCTTTCTGTGTGTTTATGCCTTCAAATTGATTTTCAAGTTTGTTACATTTTGTGTTTTATTCTTAAGATTTTGAAATTTATTTTTATTTTTTGGGACAGAGTCTCGCTTTGTCACCCATGCTGGAGGGCAGTGGTGCAATCTTGGCTCGCTGCAGCCTCCGCCTTCTGGGGGTCAAGCAGTTCTCCTACCTCAGCCTCTCGAGTAGCTGGGACTATAGGTGTGTGCCACCATACCTGGCTAATTTTTGTATTTTTAGTAGAAATGGGGTTTCACCATTTCTATGGGGTTGGCTAGCCTCTTCTTGAACTCCAGACCAATCAGAAAAGTTGGGCTTCTATCCCTCTTCTTTCTACCCTGTTCTCTTTCTTCTTCCCCATAGGTAACCTTAAACAAAAAACAAAAAAAAAAGTGTGGTTTATTCTTCCATTTAAAAAAATACTGGCCGGGCGCGGTGGCTCACGCCTGTAATCCCAGCACTTTGGGAGGCCGAGGCGGGTGGATCACGAGGTCAAGAGATCGAGACCATCCTGGTCAACACGGTGAAACCCCGTCTCTACTAAAACTACAAAAAAAAAATCAGCTGGGCACAGTGGTGCGTGCCTGTAATCCCAGCTACTCAGGAGGCTGAGGCAGGAGAATTGCCTGAACCGAGGACGCGGAGGTTGCGGTGAGCCGAGATCGTGCCATTGCACTCCAGCCTGGGTAACAAGAGCGAAACTCCGTCTCAAAAAAAAAAAAAAAATACATACATATTTGTATTTTCCTCTTTCTTAGCTAAATGGGAACATACTAAAATATTTATTTCTACCTCTGTGTTAAGTTTAAAAATGTATATATATCTGCATGAATTGCATGGCATTTATAGGTGATATGGAAGCCCTTCTAGCTAATTGTGGAAATGAGTGGGAGAGGTAGACAACTAATAAGAATATACTTTAGGTATCTCTCATCATTCAACTATGAACTAGTATTACAGTTGAGGTTCCTAGATTCCTTTTTTTATTTTTGAGATGGAGTCTCGCTGCGACGCCTAGGCTGAAGTGCAATGGTGCAGTCTTAGCTCACTGCACCCTCTGTTTCCCGGATTCAAACGATCCTCCTGCCTCAGCCTCCCGAGTAACTGGGACTACATGCCCAACTAAGTTTTTTATTTTTAGTAGAGATGAGGTTTCACCGAATTGGCCAGACTGGTCTCGAACTCCTGACCTCAAGTGATTGCCCGCCTGGGCCTTCCAAAGTGCTGGGATTATAGGCATGAGACACCATGCCTGGCCCCTAGATTCCATTTTTATCTCTGTTCTTAAGTAAAACTTTTTTCTCCTTAGACCTCAGATTTTCCTGTCCTTGACCCCAGCTGGACTGCTCAAGAAGAAATGGCCCTTTTAGAAGCTGTGATGGACTGTGGCTTTGGAAATTGGTAAGAACTTCGTGTTAAGAGTTGTCCTGCCCTAGTGGGCTCAGAAGAGAAGCTGTTGTTGAAGAGTAAAGGAAGGAACCTCAGGAAGAGAAAATATGTATTGCTTTCTTATCAACACGTGATTTAGAGACAAGTTTGTCCCTTTTGGACATTATTTTTCCAATGCCAAAATGTGTCACAAGAATATGGGATGTTTAGTGGTCCATAACTGAACCACTTTCGATGTATCACCAATGGAAAGATTGATTATTCCTTTCTGAATAGTAGGGAAGTTTAGTTTCGTTAGTTATTGCTCCCTTCTGATTTTATGCATTTTTGTTGGTTATAGATGCCCTAGTCATTTAAGTGAATTGGACTTTACCTAGATGGTCATACCTAAGATTCAAGTTTCACAGGCTTTCTGATAACGTTCTGTGTTTTTAGCTTTCCTGCCTTAGTCCAAGACTGGCTGAATTGAACATCACTCATTGCTGTTGCCCTAGGGGGCAGCACCACTTAATAATAATACCACCACTTTAATTTTTACCTTTGGGAACGCTTTCATATGGATGATTTTATTTTATGAACTAGATAGCGGAGGCATTATTGAATATATTTTGTTCACATATTATCTGAAGCCTAGGGGGTTGAAATGATTTCTCATAATTGCATAACTTATTATTGAAGGACTCTTAATTAGGTCCTCCCTGTCCTGACTTGGTAGTGTATATAATCTTTCTTGGTGTTCATTAGAATAAACTCTGCTGCCTCCCTGAAGTCCAAGGACCTGAAAAAGGAGACCTGAATTTATTTCACATTTTGCTTGTATTCATTCATTCATTCTTTATTAAGCATCATAAAATATTGTGTACAATGAGGAATACCAAAGGAGGTAGAAAAGTAATCACTTGTGAGGAGCTTGCTAGTCATCTTTAGCCTAGTTTTTAAAGTTTTGCTTACCATCATCTCTAAAATAGGCTAATCTTCTCTGTCTGTTCTCCTCTCTTAACAAAGAACACAAAAAAGATACAGCTTCTCTACTCTACTCACTGTGGATAAGGCACTAAATTTGGCAGTGAGTGGGCTAGAGCCAAGAATTATGAGATGCATCCTGCCTTCAGGAAGCTTTTAGTTTAGCAGGGGGACTCAAAATATCTGTACAAGTGATTGAAGTACACAAAACAGAATACAGTGAGTGATGCCTTAGGGGAGGACAAGTGAAGCGTTGTGGAAAAAAGACCTTGAGGAGAGGACTTCCACCTCTACCTCTCCATTACCTTGGCTCAAGTCAGGGCTCTTTTTTTTTTCCCAAATTGAGACAGTCTCACTTTATCACCCAGGCTGAAATGCAGTGGTGCAATCACAGCTCACTGTAACCCTGAACTCCTGGGCTCAAGGGATTTTCTCTCCTCAGAACTCCCAAGAAGTTGGAACAATAGGTGTGTGCCACCATACTCAGCTAATTTTAAATTTTTATTATTATTTAAAGACAGGATCTTGCTCTGTCGCTCAGGCTGGAGTACAGAACATGATCTCAACTCACTGCGTCTTCGACCTTCTGGGCTCAAGTGACGCTCCCCATTCAGGCTTCCGAGTAGCTGGGACTACACATGTGCAACCATCCCCAGCTAATTTTTGTATTTTTTGTTGAGATAAGATTTTACCACGTTGCCCAGGCTGGTCTTGAACTCCTGGGTTCAAGTCATCTTCTCATCTTGGCCTCCCAAAGTGCTGAAACAGGTGTGCACCACCGTGCCTGGCCAGATTCTTAAGCAAGTTTATTAATTCTCTTGGACCTAATTTTTTCTTCTTTGAAATTGAGTTAATAACAATACCCATACCACAAATTTAATACACGGTTTAACTTAAATTCTGTTGTGAATATTTCTAACTCAGTGTCTGGCATCTCACAGCACTAGTAAAGAAATGTTTACATGAGTGTTTTGTAAACCATAAGATATTATGCAAAATAAAATTATATTTCTGTATATTTTTAACGTTCTGAAGTCACTACTTATTATTTATAGCAATTATTTCTCTAGGGCTTAGCTCACAGGAGAATTTACAGATTTTCCCGTCATCATCTTTAAATGGAAAGGAAAGGACTTCTTAGTCATTATTTCTGTGTCTCAGACTAGCAAGATTTGGAACATCAGATTACACCAATCTAGGCTTATGTTTGTCTTATTGTTCTGCTGATACCTTCATGATACCAGTTTAGAAATAGCAGAGTGCAGTCATTATGTGGATATGACTTAAAATATTGAAAGAGCAAATGATGCTTTTACTATTATGTATAAATTAGAGTACTACTTTCTTCTTTCTTTTTCCTGACAATCCTCTAGGCAGGATGTAGCCAATCAAATGTGCACCAAGACCAAGGAGGAGTGTGAGAAACACTATATGAAGCATTTCATCAATAACCCTCTGTTTGCGTCTACCCTGCTGAACCTGAAACAAGCAGAGGAAGCAAAAACTGCTGACACAGCCATTCCATTTCACTGTAAGTGCCTCCCTATCTTGATAAGAGACACTTTGCTCATCCTTGGGCCTTGTTTCAGTAGCAGATAAACAGTGATTTGATGAGTTGGACAATTAATAATATCATGGAAGATAGGAGGACTTAGTATGGCAACTATTAAGAGTCACGATTGGCCTGGCGCAGTGGCACATGCCTGTAATCCCAGCACTTTGGGAGGCCAAGGCAGGCTGATCACTTGAGGTCAGGAGTTCAAGACCTGCCCGGCCAACATGGCAAAACTCTGTCTCTACTAAAAGTCTAAAAGTTAGCTGGGCATGGTAGCACACAACTGTAATCCTAGCTATTCAGGAGGCTGAGGCAGGAGAATCACTTGAACTAGGAAGGCGGAGGTTGCAGTGAGCCAAGATCATGCCACTGCACTTCAGCCTGGGTGACAGAGTGAAACTCCATCTCAAAAAAAAAAAAAAGAATCAGGATCATAATGTGGCAAGGAAGGAACATATTCTAAGGGTCAAGAGTTCTATATAGGACATCAAGGTGCTTGAAGCCAATGTGTAGTTCCACGTACCGTGAGTCCTTTGAACATATCAGTTAATGTCATTGCTTTCTTTTGTAAAATAAGATGTCAAAAAGGGAATATTGTTTCTATGCTGTTCTGAGTACAAGTTTTTTTGTAATCTCTTTGGAGAGTTTATAATCATAGATATGAGTTGCTTAGAGAATACAGTATTTGACTCATTATTATTAATTGCCCCAGTGTCGCTCCCAAGAAGCAATTTGTTATCTTTGTTCACTTGGTTGTGGCAGTGATAGCGAACTTTTTAATCTCATGTGCTTCTGGGACCAGTGGGTCTCTTAATAAAATATAACCAAAAACACGATGAATTATAAATGACCATCTTTCCTGAATGACTCTGAGGGCACAAGTAATGAAATAAGAATGGTTTCCCTTCCCTTTCTCTTTCCTCATACCCTCTAGAAACAGTTTTATAGTTGACTAACTTAAAGGCTGGTGATACCTCCCTTTTTTTTTTTTGAGAGGTTGCAGTAAGTACACTCTATACTCACTGCAACCTCCACCTCCTGGGTTCAAGCAATTGTGCCTCAGCCTCCTGAATAGCTGGTACCACAGGCGCATGCCATCACAGCTGGCTAATTTTTTGTGTTTTTAGTAGAGATGGGGTTTTGCCATGTTAACTAGGCTGGTCTCAAACTCCTGACCTCAGGTGATCTGCCTGCCCACCTCAGCCTCCCTAAGTGCTGGGATTACACATGTGAGCCACTCCCAGCTGATACCACCTATTTGGATAGCACTTTGATGTTAGCATTTTGTTCTCAAATCCATTAGACCATTTATTTCCCAACAGCAACCCAGTGAGCTGGGCAAAGCAAGTGCTTTTGTTTTACACACTAGGAAGCCAATTCAGAAAGGTTAGTTTGTGCAGGGTCATGGGACTAGTGTGTGTTACAGCTGGGACTTAATTCAAGCTAACTTCCAATTCCAGTGTTTGGTTTTTTTATCCCCTTTGGGTTTTTTTTTTTCTTTTTGCCTCTCAGTTGGATGAGTTTTGTAAATTGAGATTAGTCCTAAGGGGGAAGGGAGCTGAAGTTAACGGTAAATATTTAGGTTCTGTAATATTAAAAGAAAAAAGTCATGGTTTCCTTTCATTTTAGGAAAACAAAAATCGGAAGAAGTTTCTCTATATTTCCTTAAAGGATTACTTGAGTTAGTTTTTCTTTTTAAAAAATCTGTTCCCATAATACTTAATCTTTTTCACTTTTCCTTTTAGAAAAACCATTTTAAGTTTTACTTATTATTGGACTATTTTTATGTCATTTTTTTCATGCCAATATTGTATTAATTAACTCAGAAAACTTCTAAATTCTTCCAGCTACAGATGACCCTCCCCGACCTACCTTTGACTCCTTGCTTTCTCGGGACATGGCCGGGTACATGCCAGCTCGAGCAGATTTCATTGAGGTAGGAGAAACGTGTTTTTAGCACAAAGTAGGAAAAACTTGTTTTTATTTCTCTTGAGCCTTCTGTCTCACCATAGATACCATACAACTAAAAGGAGATTTTTTTCAAAGTACTATAATTTATAGAGCCTTTAGACAGCCACATTTTTTTACGTGAGTGCCTTTTCTCATTTGAAACATTTTCACATATGGAACAGTAAAAGTTCTTTAAACAAAAAACCTGTTTCTGGGCCGGCCATGGTGGCTCATGCCTGTAATTCCAGCACTTTGGGAGGTCAAGGAGGGCAGATCATGAGATCAAGAGATCGAGACTATCCTGGCCAACATGGTGAAACCCTGTCTCTACTAAAAATACAAGAATTTGCTAGACGTGGTAGTGCATGCCTGTAGTCCTAACTACTTGGGAGGCTGAGGCAGGAGAATCACTTGAACGCAGGAGGTGGAGGTTGCAGTAAGCCGAGATTGCAGCCACTGCAATCCAGCCAGGTGACAGAGTGAGACTCCATCTCAAAACAACACAAAATTTTAAAAACCCTGTTTCTGGCTGGGCACAGCACAGTGGCTCACACCTGTAATCCCAACACTTTGGGAGCTGAGAATGGAGGATTGCTTGAGTCCAGGGGTTTGAGACCAGCGTGGGCAACATAGTAAGACCGTGTCTCTACAAATAAAAAATTAGCTTGGCATGGTGGTACATGCCTGTAGTCTCAACAACTTGGGAGGCTGAGATGGGAGGATCACTTGAGCCTGGGAGGTTAAGGCTACAGTGAGTGGTGATCATTCCACTAAACTGTACCCTAGACAACAGAGCAAGACCCTGTCTCCAAAAAATCAAACAAACAAAAAACCCCGAGAAAAGCCATTTCTTAAGTTGCATCAGTGCTGGCTTCCACTTTCTTAGGTATGAAATTTCTGTAGTCTGGTTCTTGTACACCTACGGGCTTTCAAGATTGTACTGTATCAGGGATTGGCAGACATTTTTTATTAAAGGCCAGATAGTAAATATTTTAGGTTTTGTATGCTATAAAGTTTCTGTTGTAACTACACTTTGTCATCATTGTGCTAAAGCAGCATGGGATAATACAAGAAAAATGAGTATGCCTGTGTTCCAGTAAAACTTTATGTACAAAAACAGGCAGTAGACTGGATAGTAGTTTACTGACTCCTGTCGTATATCCACAGGTATATAAAGAATGACGAATGTGTATAAAAAGTGTATGTTCCTTGCTCAGCCGTGAAATTAAAAGTCATGTGAATGTAGCCACAAGTCTCTTGATTTATCATCTAATTCACATCTTGAAAGATAGCTTGGCCAAGTGCAGTGGCTTACACCTGTAAATCCCAGCACTTTGGGAGGCTGAGGCAGGTGGACTGCTTGAGCTCAAGAGTTTGATACCAGCTGGGCGCGGTGGCTCAAGCCTGTAATCCCAGCACTTTGGGAGGCCGAGGTGGGTGGATCACGAGGTCAAGAGATCGAGACCATCCTGGTCAACATGGTGAAACCCCATCTCTACTAAAAATACAAAAAATTAGCTGGGCATGGTGGTGCGTGCCTGTAATCCCAGCTACTCAGGGGGCTGAGGCAGGAGAATTGCCTGAACCCAGGAGGCGGAGGTTGCAGTGAGCCAAGATGGCGCCATTGCACTCCAGTCTGGGTAACATGAGTGAAACTCTGTCTCAAAAAAAAAAAAAGAGTTTGATACCAGCCTGGGCAACATGGCAAAAGTCCGTTTCTACAAAAAAAAAAAAAAAAAAAAAACCCAAAACCAAAAATTACCTGGGTATGGTGGCACATGCCTGTAGGCCCAACTGCTTGAGAGGCTAAGGCAAGAGGATCACTTGAGCATGGGGGTTTGAGGCTGCAGTGAGCCAAGATCACCCCACGGCACTCCAGCCTGAGTGACAGAGTGAGACCCTGTCTCCAAAAAAAAAAAAAAAAAAAATGTAGTCCAAGATCTTGAAGATAACTTGAAAGTTTAGCAAACTACAGGCAGTTTTGCTCGTGACACCCAGGTCAGCATTTTGTTCATGGTCAGTAATACTGTAAGAACTGCCCTGTAGACTCTATACCCATGCATTATACTCATTGAATAGAATATGAACAAATCTACCCATTGAACTGTATAAGTGGTATTACTGAATAAACAGACCCCCTCAAAAGATAAAAGGTAGATTATTAAATACCGTTTTCTTGCCTAAATATTTAAAAGTCTAATCAAGTTAAATATTCTGAGAAATGAACTGACTTTATTTCTTTCAGCGATAGGATCTTGCTCTATTTTCTAGGCAGTCTTGAACTCCTGATCTTGAGTGATCTTTCCACCTATACCTCCTGAGTAGCTGGGATTACAGGTGCATGCCACTGTGCCTGGCTCAGACTAATTTTAGTTTTTAGAGCAATATGTTTAGCTTTACTCCTAAACTCATAACTATTCCAATTTTCTCTTGTCACTACTGCTTGTAAGCCTCTTAGACTTCCTATTACCTGTGTCAGTATTGTGGCCTTTTACCCTATTTAGTTTTTTTTTTTTTTTTGGTGACAAAGTCTCACTCTGTCACCAGGCTGGAGTGAAGTGGTGCTATTTTGGCTCACTGCAACCTCCGCCTCCCAGGTTCAAGGGCTTATCCTGCCTTTGCCTCCTGAGTAGCTGGGATTACAGGTGTTTGTGCCAATATGACCGACTAATTTTTGTAGTTTTAGTACAGTTGGGGTTTTACCATGTTGGTCAGGCTGGTCTCAAACTCCTGACCTTGCGATCTTTCTGCTTCATCCTCCCAAAGTGCTGGGATTACAGGCGTGAGCCACTGTGCCTGGCCTATTTAGTCTTTTTTAACAAGTGTTTGCTGATGTATTTTCTGTTTACTTCTAAAGCATGTCTACTATAAAGACATTAATCAAAGCTGATGGGTTTGGGGTGGGGATTTTTTTGTTCCTCCAAACAGGAATTTGACAATTATGCAGAATGGGACTTGAGAGACATTGATTTTGTTGAAGATGACTCGGACATTTTACATGGTAACAGTTTACTTTGTCAAATGTTTATTGAGCACCAACTATGTGATGACACTGTCTTGGGTACTAGGAGTTGAAGGATGAATAAAACATATCCCCTGCCCTTACAGAATTAAAAATCTAGTGGTTAAGTTGCTGAACTTACTGTTGTTGGATTTTGACAACAGTGAATAAAATTTATAATGAGGATAAAAATATTGAGCATATAATAGTAGTTGGAAATACCCATTGGACTTTGTGATCGTTCTTTTATCCAAGTCTACACTAAGGTAATTGTCTACGCTAAGGTAATTGTCTACACTAAGGTAATTGGGTAAATCGCCCTCACTTGCCTTCTTAGAAGGAGGGGAGGCCGGGCGCGGTCTCTACTAAAAATACAAAAATTAGCTGGGCATGGTGGCTCACGCCTGTAGTTCCCACTACTCGGGAGGCTAAGGCAGGAGAATTGCTTGAACCCAAACCCAGGAGGCGGAGGTTGCCGTGAGCCGAGATCGCGCCATTGCACTCCAGCCTGGGTAACAAGAGCGAAACTCCGTCTCAAAAAAAAAAAAAAAAAAAAAAAAAAGGAGGGGAATCAGTTTGAATTCTTGGGACTTCAGTAGCAACTGCTAATGTTAAATGTTCACTATATTTTATTACCCCAAATTTCCCATAGCAAGGAAAAGAATGGAAATTTCTCAAGATCTTGTTTTTAGGCCCAAATGGGGGATTTCTTGTTTCTCAGGACTGTTGAATTTTCAACACTGCTGAATTCTTTTTTTTTTTTTTTTTTTCTTTTTGAGACAGTCTCGCTCTGTCATCCAGGCTGGAGTGCAGTGGTACAATCTCGGCTCACTGCAACCTCCGCCTCCCAGGTTCAAGAGATTCTTGTGCCTCAGCTTCCCTAGTAGCTGGGATTACAGGTTTCTGCTGCCATACCCAACTAATTTTTGTATTTTTATTAGAGATGGGGTTTTGCCACGTTGGCCAGGCTGGTCTCAAACTCCTAACCTCAAGTGATCTGCTCGCCTTGGCTTCCCAAAGTGCTGGGATTACAGGCGTGAGCCACCATGCCTGCCCCAATATGCTGAATTCTAATCTTTGATTAGCCCTCTAAGGGTTTGTGTTAACTCTTTTCCTAAAACTTAAGTGGTGAATGCCACGGGACTGTTAAGAGTAGATGATTAGACTTTGAGTCTCTTTTTTTCCTTCTTTCCATTTTCAGTGAACTACATACTAATATATACTAATACTACATAATAATCCCCAATCCTTTTTTTTTTATTTTAGTTGAGAATTGAATATGATGCAGATCAGTAATGCTCTATTGGAATCTATATTTCCCCAACAGCATCATTATTTCTGTTAAACTTACATCCCAGGCAGGACATAAAGTAGAACGCTTGTTAAATTAGAAATCAGGTTGTCATGTTGCATGAACTGGTACACTGTCCCTAAAAGGGGAACTTGATTCTTTTCTCTCCATAGAAGAGCTACCTGGATATTTGTTTTACCAGATATAAGATAAAGAAGTAGTCCTCATAAAAAATTTTACCTTAAGAAATTTTTCTCTACACATTTCTTGAGCAATGCTTTTTTCTTTCTGCAAAATTTTATTCCTCCTCTTCTCCCACACAGCTTTAAAGAAAGTCAGAGTGATGCAGATTGAACTAAAAGAGGAAAGCTTGAAAGCAAACTACTTTAGCATTCACTAAATCCATTGTATTTGTTCAGTCTTCCATGTCAGTCTCTTCTTTTCAATCCCAGTGACTCATGTTGTCTTTTCTCGCCTCTTGTGGTGTTTCCTTTGAAGGTAGTATGCAGACTGCCATTCAGTATTTCTCCTCATACGCACCAGCTTTAATTAAAATGGTACTGTTTTCTGGCTTGTATCTTTCTTATAGAAAGCCAGACTACTCTATGCAAAAGGGGCAGCTTCATAAATATCATTCTTTTAGATACTGTTCAAAAATACTAAATTTTTGGCTGGGAATGGTGGCTCACACCTGTAATCCCAGCACTTTGGGAGGCCGAGGCTGGATGATCTGTTGAGGCTGGGAGTTCATGCATGACCAGTCTGGACAACACAGTGAGATCCTGTCTCTAAAAAAAAAAAAAAAAAAAAAAAAAGCCCTTAAAACAAATTTTATTACTGTTTTTCTTCCTCCTCCTCCCTGGTTTTTATTTTTACTTATATATTTATTTTTTACAAATTTTTAAAGTCAACATCTATAATGTTAATAATGGCTGAATCACTTCTCTAGAGCCTAATCCAGGTCTTCATTCATACTTCTCAACATTATTAAGAAAACTAGTGATGGTCGGTATTTAATTTTGTTCTTTGTGGGAGCAGGGCTTACAGTTCCTTCCAGTGCACTTGGGGTCCTTTTTGTAATTAAGTGGGGATTAAAAAAAAACAGAAGCAATTGATTGATTAGCAATTTATAGTTCAGTTAGCTTTTCAAACCCATAACATACTTAAGGTATTTGTATTCTCCCTGAAGTTTCTATAGCCCTGGAAATTATTGATTTTCATTTGAACTGGAACTGAAGCATTAATCTTTATACATAGTAGTTTTAACACAGCATAAATAACAATTCTTTCTCCCCTCCTCCATAGTAAACTATAAGATGTTTAGATGAGTGTTTTTATTTTTTATTTATTCTTTTTGAGACAGAGTCTCACTGTGTCACCCAGGCTGGAGCACAGTAGCATGATCTTGGCTCATTGCAACCTCTGCCTCCCGGGCTCAAATGATTCTCGTGCCTCAGCCTCTGGCATAGCTGGGATCACAGGCATGTGCCACCATGCCCAGCTAATTTTTATATTTTTAGTAGAGGTGGGTTTTGCCATGTTTGCAAGGCTGGTCTCAAACTCCTGGCCTCAACTGATTTGCCCACCTCGGCCTCCCAAAGTGCTAGGATTACAGGTATGAGCCACTGTGTCTGGCCCTAAATCAATGCTTTTAAAAAGGTGATAACACTTTAGATTTGGGTATAGTGGCTCACACATGTAATCCTAACACTTTGGGAGGCCAAAGCAGGAGGATTTCTTGAGCCCAGGAGTTCAAGATCAGCCTAGACAACAAAATGAGACCCTCCCCCCGACCTCTAAACAATAAAAAAGATTATAACATTTTAAAGAAGCTCGTCAGCACTACAGATCAAAGGAATGACTTGCTCATGCCACAGAGAGGTACTTTGTTTACAGCTCTGAGTTCTTACAGTAGCCCCTGTGGCAGCATTACTATGTCCCCGACATAGTAATGTGACAGCACATTGTCCCCGAGCTGTCTCTCCCAGAACACTCAGTAAAGTGCACTAGGAGCCCAAGGAAATTCAGGAAGAAATGAAAAAGAGCTTTATAAGCACACCTGGAACAGAGAGAGGGGCACAGATTTTGTGGAAATCAGGACACTGATTCAGCCTCAAGCTTGCTTCTGAGTCACTGCGTAATCGTGAGTAAGTCCTTGGAATCTTGCGTGCTATTTCTTTGCGCCCTCTGCCATTAAAGAAGAAGTGACACCAATTAGTCAGAGTGTAAATGTCTCTAATGAAAGATGGTACATAATTCAGATTGGTGTTATTACCATTCCATTATACCATTATGCTTTTAACATTACTGAGCATTAACAACATTCTTTTTTTTTTTTTTTTTTTTTTTTGAGACGGAGTTTCGCTCTTGTTACCCAGGCTAGAGTGCAACGGCGCGATCTCGGCTCACTGCAACCTCCTCCTCCTGGGTTCAGGCAATTCTCCTGCCTCAGCCTCCTTAGTAGCTGGGATTACAGGCACGCGCCACTATGCCCAGCTAATTTTTTGTATTTTTAGTAGAGATGGGGTTTCACCATGTTGACCAGGATGGTCTCGATCCACCCACCTCGGCCTCCCAAAGTGCTGGGATTACAGGCGTGAGCCACCGCGCCCGGCAACAACATTCTTTTTATGGTCCCTCCTTTAGAACTACTGGAAGGTTGCAGACTGTAGCTGGGTTTTATATTTAAAACCTATCCAGAATATCAGCTGATAACACCAAGACCTTTTCTTTACCCACACAAAGATTTTTGCCTTGAATCATGGAATTTGTTTAATAAATTTGGTTTGCATGGTTCATTAGAGAGTCCTGGGATGCAATGGAGGGATAATTAATTGCATTGCAACCATACCAGAAGGCTTTCAGAATGTATTTCAGATGGATACTGCACAGTGAAGCAGTATCCATCGGAAAAAAGAAGTTCCATGATCCCTAACTGGTGTTTACTCATATTTTATTGAAATAAGCAGAAATTTTTGGTTCAGAAAGAGATACAGAAGACTTCCATCTTAGAACTCTCGTTTTGTGTATGTTGTGAGATCTCAATGCACAAGCTTAGTGTAGTTTCTTCTTGCTGCCATCTCTTTCCCTATCTCCTTTCACTTGTAAAAATCCTTCCTAAATGGCCAGGTGTAGTGGCTCATGCCTGTAATCCCAGCACTTTGGGAGGCCGAGGTGGGTGAATCACGAGGTCAGGAGTTCAAGACCAGCCTGACCAAGATGGTGAAACCCCATCTCCACTAAAAATACAAAAAATTAGATGGGTGTGGTGGTGGATGCCTGTAATCCCAGCTACTTGGGAGGCTGAGGCAGAGAACTGCTTGAACCCAGGAAACTGAGGTTGCGGTGAGCCAAGATCGCATCACTGCACTCCAGCCTGGGCAACAGAGCAAGACTCTGTCTTAAAAAAAAAAAAAAAAAAAAAATCCTTCCTAAATTTTGGAGTACTCTTTCCCTGAGTTTCTCAAGATCTTAAAATTCTCGTTATAGTGTCTTCTAAGTCATTGTTGTACCATAACCCAGGCAAGCAAGAGATACGATAAGCTCCTCCTATGTGCTGGGTCTGTGTTTTCAGTACTTCTCAGGGCTGCACATTAGTACAGTTTACAGTACAGTTTACTCTCCCTCTGTCTGGAAAGGTTATTTCAGCAAGTTTTCTCTCCTAGGTGTGATCCGTGAACTCCTTCACCTCCCACTGTGTTTTTCAAAT